AGTGTGATAAACATTGCCTGATCTCTAAAAACCCTGGCGGTCCTGTCTGTCCTCACAGTTATCGTCAAGTCCTTAAACAGATTCTGTGGTTTACACTCTTGCCGGACCTTCCTCCGCCCAAGCCCCTGTGCTTCAGAGTCCGGAGCTAAAGTGCCTCCTAGGGCCACTCAGGGACAGAGCTGAGAAGCAATCACTGCCCTGCTTCCTCACCCTCGCCCCCCCCCCACCCCTCCTCACCCTTCCTGGCCCTTCCTTGCCCCTCCTCTGTAGCTCTCAAGAGTTCATGCCCTAAGCCTGCTCTCCCAGAGAGTGCACGATGCTCTTCCTCTCTCTCCTTCCTGCTAACCAGACCTACCCACCAAGCAGCTCTTTACCTTTCTCTGAGGAGAAACCCAAGGCCCAGAGGAGGACGGTGGATCAGGGAGTGTGGCCAGAGGGCAGAGGCAGCAGGAAGGGACAGATAAGGTGACCTGCTCCTAGTCTCTGCACTTCACACCTGTTACTTACTTCAGACCTCTGGGTTCTTCTCCCAGCTCTGCTGACTTTCACTGTGGCCCAGGTCAGTCCGTGCTATCTAGAACCGCCTAGAAGTGTGTATGGTCTTGAGAAAGACTCCCGGAATGCTCTTGCAGAGCTCAGTAGAAGCTTTTTATGTCCAATCATGGGAATAAGTCTATCAACATGAAACATCTCAATAGTTATTTATAGACATTCTACACCTCAAGTGGAAGGTGTTGCTTTGTAAACAGTCATTTAAAGACAGACAAGGCAAGTTGACCAAAAAAAAAGGCAAAACTATTTTAAAATAAGTTACTTCTTTCAATTACGCATCTGATTTGTTTGTTCTCTTGTTTACACCTTATCTCTCCTCCCAGAGCCATTTGAAATGGCTTGCGGAGATGTGTAGAGTAAACCAGGATTTAAGAAGAGGCAAAGCCGTTGCAGTGAAGAAAGCCCAGTGCAGGAAGATCGCACAGTGCAGGGATGGCTCAGGGGTGCATGGTGGTGTCATAGGACCCTGTTCTTTGCTGGTGGTGCGACTCAGGTTTGACTCTGACCTTTTCAGCAGTCAGAACAAAGTGGGCAATGCCATCAATAATAAGAATCACACAATTGTTAAAAATAAACCAGCTCTTCAGGAGAAGTAGAACTTTTCCTGGAATGTCCTTTCCTACAATTTCCAGGAGGCCCTGTGTGATGTAAGAAGAGACAATATCATCACAATCACTCTTACAAAAACAATAGGTGGTTTCAAGGGGCTCTTTTTTGAATATGTCATTTAATGTGGGAAAGGAGGGACACAGAAGTAAATGTCATTAGGAGTTTGCATGTATGGTCAGAAGACTGCCGTCCAGGTGTGTAGCTCTCAGTGGAAAGCTCGTGCTTCAGACTCCCAGATGGACTGCAAAGAGTGGAGCACTCCTTGATGGTTATTTCCTTCCGCAGCAATGCCATTGACAAAAGTTGGGCAACAATGGAGAGACCTATCTGATTGCCTCAGAGGCTTGTCTGTGAAACTCATACCTGCTCCTTGTCCCACCCCTCCCCCTGGGTATCAAAAGCATTAAAGTTAGCTTTTGTGACCTGGTTCTCTTTCTGCCACACTGTACTGGCACAGGCCCACCGCAACCTGTAGCCGGAACCCTCCCGAAACCAGAGTCTTGCCTCCGTAGTTGGCCTGGGGCTGGCAGCTCTCGCGGTGCTCTGGTCTTGCCATTCACCACATATTCAAAGACACCGTCCAGAATATGCTCAGCCTCTGTATCTCTGACTTGACAAAAAAGTTTGTGCCAAGTCAAGTCTATTTCTTCTCCTGGGCTCTAAATTGCTTTGCTATCTTTCTGGCAGGGGAAGTGATAAAAGAAAAGCATTCTGGGACTAGAGCAGATATGTTTATGAGAGTGAAAAACTACAGCCACTTTTTCACCTACCACCTTCATTGGTTGAAACTAAAATGTTTTTATGTGAAATCCAGACCAGAAGCAAATGTTTGTTTTCAATTTTGGTTTAATCGGTGTTTTATAGATCAGTATTTGTTAACAAAAGCTCAACGTGGGGCCAGGTTTGGTCATTTTACTCTGCTCTGCACCCTTGCTCTTTTCATGGGCCTCGTCCTGTGTGTCCCATGTGGGCTCTGAGTAGCAGGAAGAGAATGGCCAGACCTCTGTCAATAGGACGATTGGGAAGCAAAAGCTTTCTGAGTGCCAGGCACAACCTATGTGGAGCATCACACCGAAAGGACCCCCATCCTGGATCTTAAATATCCTGGCCCAGAGAAGACGCATCGCTAGGCATTCCTTGTCTCTGGGACTTCCCTGGGCTGGAGGGAAGGTCTCAAAGGGCAGCTTTGCCTCCCCACAACAGCCGTGGGGTCTAAGCAATAAACACAGAGCTGGCTACCTGCAAAGGTGATTGTCTCACACAGGTCCTCACAGGGAGTGTGGGTCCTCCTCAGGGTGCTTGCCACAGTCCTCGCATCCGGGCTCCACCCTCTGCCTTCAGGAGGGAGGGATGGGGCTGGTTGGAAGGGAGCCCTGCAGATGGGTCTGTCCTGGACTCTCCTCAGCTCCCTGTGTGGACCCGTCACTTAGACCTTTTCACTGTGGTAACTGCACAAAATCACCAATGTTGAAGAAAAAACATTTCTTTGAACATGTGTAAATTCTGATATATTTGCTTAGAAAATCTGTAGTCACAACCTGCAATGTATTTAAACTGGTACAACTTTGATTAACTTGCTTAATAAAAAAATTTACTTTTGATATGTGACTTTGTAATTATTTTTCTGTCTTTATTGAGGTATAATTGATAAATTAAAAGTGCATATATTTAGGCATATAACTTGATGTTTTGATATATGTATACACTGTAAAATAATCACAATAAAGCTAATGAATACACTTGTCACTTCACATATTTGCCATTTCCTTCCTTCCTTCCTTCCCTCTCTTTCCTTCCTTCCTTCCTTCCTTCCTTCCTTCCTTCCTTCCTTCCTTCCTTCCTTCCTGTCAGAACACTTAAGATCTCTCCCCTTAGCACATTCCAAGTATACAGTACAGTACGATTCACTGTGGTCGCACTGCTCATGTTAGATCTCTAGAACTTCATCGTCTTGCATGGTTGAAATGCTGTACCCTTTGACCAGCTTTCCCATTCACCCTCACACTAGCCCTTAGCAACCGCCATTCTGCTCTCTGCCTCTATGCATTTGACTATTTTAGATTCTACATATAAGTGAGATCATGCAGCATTTGTTTTTCTTCATCTGGCTTATTTCACTCAGCCTCCAGGTTCATCCGCATTGTCACAAGTAGCAGGATTTCCTCTTTTTTAAGGGTGAATAACAGTCCACTGTGTGTGTATACTATATAATGCCCATTGTATGTGCATATGTATATACACACATACATATACATGTATAGATATACACCTATAGAATATAATGTATATATATAATGTACATACAATATGTGTCCATTCATCCGTCAAGACACTTAAGTTGCTTCCATATCTCGGCTGTTGTGAATAACGTTGCAGTGAACATGAGAGTGTACATGTCTCTTCAAAGTAGTTTCCATTTCCTTTAGATATCCAACCAGAAGTGGGGTCACTGGGTCATCAATTAGTTCCATTTTAATATATGAAGCACTTCCGTACTATTTTTCATAAGCTGTAACAACTTACATTCCCATCAACACTGTACAAGGGTCCCTATTTCTCCACATCCTGGCCAATGTCTGTCTTTCCACAGCTGTCAACTTCTCCCTTCAGATCTCTCAGTATCTGCTTTATATATTCAGGTATCTGATGTTGGGTATGTATATTTTTATAATTGTTATATTTTCTGCTGATTGACCCTTTTATCATTTAATAACCTACTTTGTCTCTGGAGGCAGTTTTTGACTTAAAGTCTATTTTATCTGATATACTCCTAAGTGTAGCCATCTCTGCTTTTTTTCTGTTACTCTTCATATAGGATGTCTTTTTCCATTTCTTCTCTTTCAGCCTATGTGTGTCCTTAAATCTAAAGGGAGTCTCTTGTAGCCAGCATGTTCCAGAATCTTTTTAAACATCAATTTATTCATTGCATTCCTTTTGATTGTGGAATATAATTCATTTGCATTTAAAGTAATTATTAATATATGAAGGCTTACTAATGCTATTTTATTAGCTGTTTTCTGTTTTGCAGTTTTTCCCTCTTCTTTTGCTGTCTTTCTTTTTTATTTGATGATTTTTTTCAGTGATTTGCTTTGATTCTTCTCTCTTTACCTTTTATGTATCTGTTACAGGTTTTTTTTCTTTGTGGTTATCCTGAAGCCTCCATAAAATATCTTGTAGTTATCAACAAATTGGTAACAATTTAACTTCAATCACATACAAAAACTGTTAAACGATTGTTTTCTGGGGGAGTGGGGCCTGAGACCTCGTAGTCTGCCACCTGCCTGGTGTCCCCTCTTTGGTATGTGACTTAACTTCCTGAGGTAATGGAACACTTTCTTCCCACTCGACTCATCCCCTGCTGCAGGACCACCTTCTAGTGCTTCATATTGTGGTTGTTTTGTCTATCCTCCCCACCACTTTCTGTCCCATTCTTTGAGTCGGGCATTTCTTTTTTTTTTAATTAATTTTTAGAGAAAGAGGGGGAGGAAGAGGGCGGAGGGGAGGAAGGGGAGGAGAGAGAGAGAGAATATCATCGATTCATTGTCCCACTCATTCGTGAGCTCATTGGTGGATTCTTGCGTGTGCCCCTGGCTGGGATGGAACCACAGCCTTGGCATTTGGGGATGGCTGATGCTCTGACCAGCTGAGCCAGCCAGCCAGGGCAAGCCTGGCACTTCTAAAGGTTAAAGAGTAGAAAGGGGCATCATCACCTTGAAGCTCACATGGATTGAATTATATTGCCCAAGCCTAACTTAAATAACTGCTAGAACATTCTTTGACGTTGTGTATGTGTTGCTTGCCTGGCTGGGAGATGGACCACCTTTTTCCTCTTAAATCAGCAGTGGACACCTTGATTCCTCTGGGATGGAAGATGAGGAGGCAGAGAGAACATTTGGGGCCAGCTACCAGCTTATGGATGGCCCCTCTTGCCAGTGTGGAGTGATGCGTGTGGAGAATGTGCAGGTGTCCAGAGCGGGAGGAGCCGAATGAGGGGACAGAGCTTGGAAAACCTGGGTAAGACGGAACATGCAAAGTAGAAGAAGCAGCCTCAGCTCCTGGGCTGTGTTGGGGGCGGGGGTGACATCTGCCCTCTCAAGAGCATTTCCTCTTCCCATGGGGAGGAAGGACTCCCAGGCAGGGTAACTTCCTGCTCCTTGGGGCAAAGATCATTCTGGACATTTCTTCCCATGCTGTTTCCATACAGTGAGGCCAGTTTTACCACAGAAATGTATGGCCTTTTCATTAATCTAGGTGTCTCCTTAACCCTAAACCTATGCTTGTCTGCCATGATTAGGCTTGCTTCCCCCGCCCCCATTAAGCTTGAGATCATTGAGATTTATATGCAGTTATAAGAAACAATACACAGAGTCCCTCAAATAATCTTTAGGTGGGTTCTCCAATAGTAACTTCATAACTATAGTACATGATCACGACCAAGGACTGGCACAATAGATCCACCTGTTTGAGATTTCATCCCATTGTTTTACATGGAGTGTGTGTGTGTATTTTATTTTATGTAGTTTTATCGCATGTATAAATTCTGGTGACCAGATACAAAATAGCTCTGTTACTACAGAGACCCCTTTTGTTGTCCTTTGTAACTGTATCTACTTACTCTCTTCCCCACTCCTAAACCCTGGCAACCAGGAACCTTCCCTTCATTTGTATGATTTGATCATTTTAAGAATACTATATAAATAGAGTCATACCGTATGCAACCTTTTGAGACTGCTTTGTTTCACTCAGTGTAAGTTCCTGGAGAGTCATCCAAGTCGTTGTGTGAATCAATAGCTCATTCCTTTTTATTGCTCACTGCTATGATGTCAATGTATCACAGTCTCTTTAATTTAAAGGAAATTCAGATAGCTCCTTGTTTGGGGGTACAAATTACACTGCTACAAACATTCATGTATAGGATTTTGTATGAAGATATGTGTTCATTTCTGCATGTATGTTTGGGGGGAGGGAAATGCCCACGAATGTGATTGCTTGGTTATACAGTAGTTGCATGTTTAGTTTTTTCCAGAAACTACCAAAATATTTTCTAGAGTAGCTGTACTATTTTACATTTTCACTAGTAATGTGTAAGTGATCCAGTTAACTGCATCCTTGCAAGGATTTGGTGGTGGTACTATTTTTTGTTCGTCATTCTGATAGTTTCATAGTGGTACTTCACTGTGGGTTTAATTTGCATTTCCCTGATGCATTACAATGCTGAACTTCTTTTCATTCATTTATCGCTCACATGTATACCCTCTTTGGTGAAACGTTACTTTGCCCATTTTCCAATTGGATTGTTTTTCTTTTTATTTTTGAGGTTTGAGTGTTCTTTATATATTGTATATACTAATTTTCTATCAAACATATGATTTGCACATTTTTCTCAGTCCATAACTTGTCTTCTCATCCTCTTAATTTTTGCAAAGCAAAAGTTTTAATTTTGATGAGGTTCAGCTTTCAGTTTTTCATTTTATATATTGTGTGATTGGTGTTAAAATTAAAAACTCTTTGCCTAGCCCTAGATCCTAAAGACTTTCTCCTATTTTTTCTAAAAGATTTATAATTTTTAATAGTACATTTAAGTCTGTGGTTCATTTTGAATTCATTATTGTATAAGGTATGAGGTTTAGGTCAATGGTTTTTGTTTGCTTTTTGTCTCAGGGTATCCAACTGCTCCAGCACCATTTGTTGAAAGAATGTTTACTTGTATTATTTTACATTCACAAATGGGGGAATGAGGGGTGGAGTGGGGAGAGGGAGAGAAAGAGAAAGAGAAAGAGTGAAAGATAGATAGATAGATAGATTTTAATGAAACAATTGGGCACAAAATGTGGCAGTTTGGGGGATACCGGGATAAAAATGGTGATTAGGTGAGAGGGAAAGATTGCCCAAGGAAGAATTAGCTAAATTATGTACTGTTAAAAAACTAAGGAAAATAGGGAGGTATTGACTTGTGCATTTTCCATCTTTAGGGGCAAGAAAGACTGGTGGGAAGGAGAATGGAAGAAATTGACCCACATCTTTGCCACTGGATGAAGTAGCAACATTGGGCTGTCACGTAATTCTAAGGAGTGAAGAGGATGGTGAGGAATAAAACAGGGTGGCTTCCAGGTGGGTGTTTGAGGAGGTCATACGCAGCTAATTAGAACTTGGGAAAGACATAATTTTTTTTCCAGGTAGCCTCGTGGACTACACTGGCAGCAATGCCATTTGCAAGGTACCCTAACTTTTCTGGGGCTTGCCCAAACACGGAGTCTCCCAGGACAGGCACACCAGGACTGCCTCTATCACTCTCTGCGTTGCATTTGCCCCTCAGGCTTCCTTGTGATGTTGGAATGTAACTACTCAAGGACTCAAGAGGCCTTCCAGAGAGACAGGAAGGCCTGGCATTCCAACTCTTGGTTCCCTGCCATGGGACTGTCTCTAAAATTTCTGTGTTATTTTTGGAATGAAAAAAAACAAACAAACAGGGTATGGCTTCTTTACATAAGTAAGATGATTGCTCTTTAGCTTGTTTTCAGAAAAGAGACACTCTGGATAATGCTCTTAAGTTTACATTTAGAACTCCAGAAGAATAAGGCTATAAGGAAGGAAATGTTTTGTTCGTTGGTTAGTGGTTGTAGTGGAATTTGGAGCAGACTGTAATTAAATGTTTTGACATTTATGTGGAAGGAGCAAACAATAGGGTGGGCAATATCAAACTCACTGAACTTTTTGTTGTTGTTGTTGTTAAGAAAGAAAGAAACAAACAAACAACCTGGCTAGCTGATTTGCTCTGGGAGTCCTCCAGGACAAGGTATTTACACACAAGGCAGGAGAATGGAACTATTAAACAATGATGGTTTATTTTTCCCTTTTCTTTATATACCACATTGGGTGGCATCTATAACATACATTCAGTCCATATGCTCTTTTGCAGCTTTTCTTTTTCACTTAAATTTATTGGGGTGACATTGGTTAACAATATCATGTAAGTTTCAGGTGTACAATTCAACGCCACATCATCTACGTATTGTGTGGTGTGCTCACCACCTAAAGCCCAGTCCCCTTCTGTCACCACGTGTTTGACCCTCTCGACCCTCTTCATCCTTCCTCACCCCCACACCCCACACCCTTATGGTAACCGCCATACTGTTATTGTGTCTTGAGTTTGTTTGCTTGTTTTGTTTGTTCATGTGTTGCTTTCTATTTTATATCCACATATGAGTGAAACTCTACGGTTCTTGCCTTTTCCATCTGACTTGTTTTCCATAGTATAGTACTCTCAAGACTCATTTATGTTGTTGCAAATGGCAGTGTCTCATTCTTTCTTATGACTGAGTAGTTCTCTGTCATATACATGCACCACATCTTCTTTATTCAGTCAACCACTGAAGGACACTTAGGCCTCACCCATATCTTGGCTACCACAAACAGTGCTGCAATGAACACAGGAGCACACGTATCTTTATAAATAAAAGTTTTCAATTTTGGGGTGGGGGGTAGATACCCAGAAAAGGGATTACTGGGTCATTTTGTAGCTCTATTTTTAATTTTTTTGAGGAACCTTCATACTATGTTCCGTAAAGGCTGTACTAATATGCGTTCCCACCAGCAGTGTATGAGGGTTCCTTTTTCTCCACATCCTCACCAATACCATTATCTTTTGACTTTTGGATAATTGGTGACAATTTGATCCTAACAGGTGTGAGGTGATAGCAGTTGTGGTTTTGATTTGCATTTCTCTGATGAGTGGTGATGATGAACATCTTTTCATGTACCTCTTGGCCATTCGAATATTATCTTTTGAAAATGTCTATTCAAGTCCTTTGCCCCTTTAAAAATCAGGTAATTTGCTTATTTGCTTTTGAGTTATCTGGGTTTCTTACATAGTTTGGATATTAACCCCTTATTAGGTAGTATCTGATTTGCAAATATTTTCTCTCATTTTATAGGTTGCCTTTTTGCTCTGTTGTTTCCTTTGTTGTGCAGAAGCTTTCTAGTTAGATGTAATTCTATTTGTCTATTTTTGCTTTTGTTACATCTCCTTTCAGTGTCATGCCCCCAAAATCATTGCCCAGACTAATGTCAAGTAGCTTTTTAGTCTTTAAGATAAGGGTCTATTTTCATTCTTCTGCATGTGGATATCTAGTTTTCTATTTTAATTTTTCTTAAGATACTTTTTTATTTCCCTTTTGATCCCTTGGCTGTTCAGGAATATGTTGTTTAATTTCACCCTATTTGTGAATTTTCCTTCTGCTATTGATTCCTAGTTGTATAACATTTTGGTTGGAAAAGATAGTTGATGTGATTTCAGTCTTCTGAAATTGGTTAAGATTTATTTTGTGGACCAACATACTGGAGAATGTTCAGTGGGATGCCCCATTTTATATTTCCACCAGTCGTGTGTGAGAGTACTAATTCCTCCACATTCTCCCCAACACTGTCGTTGTCTGTCTTTTTTATTCTAGCCATCCTGGTGGGTATGAAGTCGTATCCATTGTGGAATTTGTCCCTAGTGACTAATGATGTTGAACGTCTTTTGAAGTGCTTGTTGGCCATTTGTTTATCTTTTCTGAAGACATATTTGTTTTGACTCTTTGCCCATTTCTAAATTGGGTTAGTTGTATTTTCACTATGGATTTGTAAGGGTTCTTTAGCATGTAAGTCCTTTATCAGACATATTATTTGCAAAAATTTTCTCCCATTCTGTGGTTTTGTCTTTTTATTTTCAATGTGTGTCCTTTGAAGCACAAATGTTTTAAATTTTGATGAAATCTAATCCGTCTATTTTTTTTCTTTTGTTGCTTGTGCTTTTGATGTTATAGCTCAAAAACCATTGCCTAATTCAAGGTCATGAAGATTTACTCCTATTTTATCTTTCAGGGATTTTATAGTTCTACCTCTTACATATTTATATTCCTGAATTAATTTTTGTATATTGCGTAAGTTTAATATTCCATAAATAACAAGGAGCTGAAACACGAGTTCTGTCATTACAGACTTTCCCAAGGCTGTTCATCATTAACATTGGTGATGTCGACTCCGACACAACTCTTCCCCTGCTAGCTGGGCTTTCCCCGCTATGTAATTTACCAGTGTATCTGAGAATATTGAAGTGTTTGTGTTGCCAGAGGCTGAAATCCAAATCAAAGTAGTCAGAAAATGGGGTTTATTAGAAAGACTGAGGCATTTCATATGATTGAAGGAAGAGTTGAATAGCCTGATGGTAGGAAGCTTGCAGTGTAGCTGTGACCAAGGAACAGCTGAAACTGGGACTTGAAGGCAACCAAGACATGTGTGTTCTCTCTCTCCACCACCTCTCTCACCCCTACCCCCTCCCCCTCCCCCTCTCCCCTTTCTCTCCCCCTCTGCTTCTCAGTCCTTCCCTCTTCCTCCCCTCCCCTGTTTCTTTGGGTCTTCCCTCCATTTCTCTCTACCCATAAGCTTTACTTCCCGAGCAGGCTGGTTTCCTCTACTTAGCCAAAGATGAGAATACAGGTAGATCATGAGACCCTGAACTCCAAGCTCTCACCATGAGAGAGACTCTCTCCCAACTCCGGTGAGAAAAATTCTAGGCAAGATCTTTGATTGGCAAACTGGGGTCATGTGCTCCTCTAGACTGTTAATGCAAGCATTCTGATAACATTGAATGTGGGTTTTATTTATTTTATTTTTAATTTTTATTGTTGTTCAAGTACAGTTATCTCCATTCTCCTCTCGCCCCACCCATCCCCGCCTCCCACCCTTGATCCTACCCCCTGTGGCTTTGTCCATATGTCCTTATATATGCTCCTTGATGACCCTACTTTCCCCCATTACTCCTCTCCCACCTCCCCTCTGGTTACTGTCAGTTTGTTTTTTATTTTAATGTCTCTGGTTATATTTTGCTTGCTTCTTTGTTTTATTGATTAGGTTCCACTTATAGGTGAGATCATATGGTATTTGTCTTTCACTGCCTGGCTTATTTCACTTAGCACAATGCTCTCCAGATCCATCCATGCTGTCATGAAGGGTAGGAGGCTCCTCTTTTCTTTATATTGTGTATTATTCCATTGTGTAAATCTACCATAGTTTTTTTAATGTGGGTTTTATTTGCAGAAAAGACTCTTGAGAAATTTACTTTTGGTTTAAATAAATTGTTTTCAATTTATTATAGCTCTTGTTCTTATAGAACTTTGTTTTTGAAAGATTATTTATTTTTAGAGAGAGGGGAAGGGAGGGAGAAAGAGAGGGAGAAAAACATCAGTGTGTGGCTGCCTCTTGCATGCCCCCCACTTGAGACCTGGCCTGCAACCCAGACATGTGCCCTGACTGGGGATAGAACCAGTGACCGTTTGGTTTGCAGGCTGGCACTCAATCCAGTGAGCCACACCAGCTACGACCTTGCAGAACTTTTTATTTTTATCATAAATTTAGCAGTTGTTAACAATTACTTTTTAGGAGATATTTAAATATTTTTTGTTATTTAAAACTCAGTTAATTAAACTGCTTTAACACCTCAAACATTGTTTATCAACTTAAGATATTTGATATTCTTGTTAAGTATTTTAATTGCTTGACCAAACAAATCTCCCTGAGGACTTAACTCTTATAGATACAATATATTAACCTTATAAACACAACAAGTAAAAGCTAAAGTTCTCCTAGGTATTCTGATACTGTGTATGAATTTAGTAGGATTCCAGCACAACTAACTTAGTTATTCAACTGTATATTTTAAACTGGAGTTAGAAAGCTCTCACTCTAGCACAACATTTTTTTCAATATCAGGAACACAGAGATTATCTAATATGTACAGGATCTTTCTAATATGTACATGGCTTTTGACCCCCTTAAATTTTTTAATACTTAATTATAAATCTTTCCAGAATTAAAATCTGCTACTCACTTAGAAATATTATTAGAATTCACAGCAGTTCAGAATATTTAATTCTAAATTCTTCCAAGGTTAAAAGTTGCTCATTTACTAAGGAAATTTCATCTGTTCTAAGATACGCTTCCCCTACACCACCATGTTTTACCATCTCTGAAA